AAAAAAAACACTGTCAAAACGCATGTGCTTCCTCGACTTTAGCGCTCAGACGCACAGGGGTTTCGTATTATTTGCAAAAAGAAATAAAATGATACAGACAGTGGTTTAGTATTAATTCAAATCAATAGTCTTATATATTTGTCAAGATTTCTTTGTGTACAATTGAGTATATTACCTTAATGCGGAAATTATCGATGAGGCTGGTAGCTCCGGTGTTCTTCCTTGATGATTCAAAAGAGAAGTGACGGATTAAATTAAATCGCGTTAGTTGCGGACCGCCGGACAAACACCGATATAGAAGGGGAAAGTTAACGAAAGTTCGTTGTCCGGCGAGAAGGACTTGCTAACGGCCCAAGTCTTCGCGTTAATACATAAGTGTATACATACGTGCGCATGTATAGTTATATACACACGCATGCGTACACAAATACGTATGTGAGTGAGTTAGAGAAAATGGCATTAGGGTGGAGTTTTTTTGAAATATTTAGGCTGAAGGCCTAAACATGCCGCCCCCCTTGCGGGACGCAACATCTGTGCTTGGGAAACGCCCGAGCTACCAGCTTCATATGTTCTTACAACTACAAAACAAGTGTGTGAATTCATGTAGGTTGTGCTGTTGAGACCGGCGCCACCATCACCAAGATCTTCGACGAGCGGTTCCATCCTTTTTCCCCTAAAACACCTAGTAAATCATAGAGTGAAGATCATGGGATACACACATGGTTATAATTCAATGCACTTTATTTCATTACAAAAAATTCAAATAATTCACATCTTATTTTGGTTTTTTATGTAAGTTAAATTTACGGCCGGCACGCCCCTGACAGCACCCAACCAAAAATAGTGCTTTGCGCAATGAGGGGGCCAAACGACGTCGGTAAAGTTCCGGGCAAGATTAGGTCCGCATATACGTCCGACCCAAGGGCAAGGCGTATCGGTGCTGATGCGAAAAAATTTGGATCCGCAAGCCGAATGTGGATATACGGCGTAGCAACTGAGGGATCCACATTAGTCCTAGGTGAGACATGGTTGTAGTGGGGTATAATAAGCGCATGGGTCGCCACCCGCTTGTTCTGCCCATGCTTGCCCCTTATGCATAGGAAACACCCTCGTTGCCCGCCGATATAGGTTTCCTGAAGCCCTAGCTCTTGGGCCAGATCCGCGGACAAGATAGTGTTCGGCGCGCAAGCGTCAATAAGCGCGCGGACCAGATGTAGGCGCCCTCTCGCCTCCACCTTTACAACAGCCGTCGGCGCCACGGATATAGTGGGCTGGAGTGATGGCGTTATTATGGTATTTCGAAAAGCGTGCGGTCGTGATAGCTGGCGAGGCCTAGTCACCAGTCTATCTTCGTGTTGAAATGTTGTGGATTGGCGCAGGCGGAAAGGCCGAGTTCCCGCTCTGCGGCTTTGTCGCCCTTGGTGGCGTGCTCGGTGAACCCGTGTTTCGGATCCAGCCGTACTTCTGCGTTCATGCCGCAGCAGAGGCCGGAAAGACCGTGTTTCCGGTCCCCCGTTAGTAAGCGGGCGGAGAGGCCGAGTCCCCGCTCCGCGCTCAATAACTTCCCCTTCTTCAATCTCTGGACCGGGAGGCCTAGTCTCGGTTCCCGAGTCGGACGCGTATAGTGACAGAGTGCCGTCTGCCTCGGCTTCTTCCACTTGCACACTCCATGGTTTGGGGACTGGTTCCTCTGAGTCGCCTTCATTGCCTCGTGCCCTCCATGACTCACATTTTCGTTGGCGCGTTGGCTCCTCCTCTAAATGCAGAGTGGAGTGGTGTTTCTCGCCGCACCTACGGCATCTTCCCTCGCTTTGACACTCCCTCAGCTGGTGGGTCATGGCAAGGCAGTTTGCGCAATAGCGGCCCAGTAGAGCTTCGCGCAGTCTCTCCTCGGGCGATTTTGCCCGATAAATAGGGCAGAGCCTAATCGGGTGGTGTGCGTCGCATAGGCGGCACGGTAGCGGATAGCGGTGGGCGCGTTGTTCGGCTCGTTTCCTCATAGTGGCGATATGAGACATCGTTACGGCTGAAATAGGGTCAGATATCGTTGCAGTGGATATTATAACGTATATATGTATTGTTGGGTGGCGAGTGGTATGAAAGGCGCAACATTTTGATGAGTGCAAGCGCATAATTCGGTGGGTGTGAACTTGGCATTATATACATTATTTTTCTAATCAAAGAACCACCTAGTGTGAATGTAGCATAATGTTAACTCACGACCTACAAAATTTTGGATGATGGATTGCATGGATGCCATGCATTCTACTGTGCAGGGATGTATGGGCAACGTAGAATTTTACTTGCATTAAATTATACCGAAAAAAATGCTTGTGCGTATGAGTGTGGTAGCATTTATTTATTTTTATTATTTTTCATTTGTGCTTTCATCCGCATATTTTGTCAATAGCAGGTTTTAACATATGTGTGTGTGTACTTGAGTATGTGACGTGAACCTGCTTATCGACATTTGGAGACTTACATCGACACTCAACAATCCCACTTCCCACCGGCATAAGCTTGCATATCATAGGGCGCCTTGCTGTTAAAAAACAAGGTGCCACCTAAGAAATACTTTAGCAAGCATAGTATCTTAACATTTTTGTGGTACGTAGTGACTTTGGATTGGTTTCCCATGTAAAATAACCAATTAACATTTTGTGACTTTGCTTTGGTTTTACATTTAAAATAACCAATTAACATTTTGTGGTACCCAGTGACTTTGCATTGGTTTTACATTTAAAATCTCCAATTGTATGACAACAGCAATTAAATTTATTGTCTACGAACGGTCACCATGCAAAACTAGCAGCAGCTAGTTAGGGTTAGTGTTAATTGTCCGTAAAGAAACATAGCTATTCTCCAATATGAATGGAGAACGGCGCTAGGTTTATTCCTGATGTGGAACGTAATCACATACATACATACATACAATGCATAAATGTCATTGTCTAAAATTTTACTACCACGCGGCCATTACGTAAGTTTGCTGGAACGGTTGGGTGAGTATGCATGCGAAATTGCAGGCTTTTGTACTTATTAATCTTTTTCGATTTTCAGAGATTTTTACATGGGCTTAGGCATGTGTTCGAGGCGGTGAATATGGAGAATACACATTTCCTCATATGGACAACAACACCCTGGACACTGCCATCGAATTATGTTTGTGCGGTTAATCCGAATTTGATCTATGTGAAGGCCCTGGATAAGAAAACACAACGCATTTATATCCTGGCTGAATCACGCTTAAATACCGTCTATAAAAACGAAGATGATTACAGTATTTTAGAGAAATTTCCTGGTACCAAATTAGCCAATGCACCATATAAACCACCCTTTCCTTACTTCCTCGAAAAAGGAACCGCAGCGAAAGCTTTTCGCGTACTTGTCGATGATTATGTCACGTTAGAGACCGGTACCGGCATTGTCCACAACGCGCCCTACTTTGGTGAGGATGATTATCGCATTTGTCTTAATGCGGGCATCATACAAAAATCCAGCAAGCCAATTTGTCTATTAGATGAGGTGGGACGTTTCACGGCGGAGGTAACTGACTTTGCTGGTCTCTATGTCAAAGATGCCGATAAGGCGATAATAGCGAAGCTCAAGGAAATGGGTGTGCTAGTATCTGCTGGTCAAGTCAAACATAGTTATCCATACTGCTGGCGCTCCGATACACCTTAGATATACAAATCTGTACCCTCATGGTTCGTACGCGTGGAGCATATGTCACAGAACTTGCGCGATTGTAGCGCGCAAAGCCATTGGGTGCCGGAAAATGTGCTCTAAAAATCTCTGAAGTGTGGTTTCTTGGTTGTACACTTTTCATTTTCGGCAGTCTTATAGAATTTGCATTTGTAAACACTATTTGGCGACGTAAACGCAATGTGGATGTGAAGAAAATGAGTAGCAAGCATATACTTAAGTCAACATTATCGCCGCGCGCTTCACGTCGTCCCACCGGTCGTTCACGTTCATTCTGTGTGGCGCCTGATGCTAATCAAGCATCCAATGATCCAACCGCATTTAATAATTACCTAACCCTACATAATATACCAATACATACCATACATGAGAATGAAGCATTGGATAACATATCGAAAATTACGAGTTTCAGCGGCACTACAACAAATACTTGCGATTCAATGCCTTATAGCAAGCGTGATCTAATCAATGTGCAATCTGGAGAAGCAGGCCAAAATAACGGTTGGACTACACTAACTCCTCAAGAAATATCCATGTGGATCGATAAGAAGGTACGTTGCTTATTTCCGCTGGCTTTTCTTGCTTTCAACATATTCTTTTGGACGTTTGTCTATGTGGTGTAATGCGGCAGAGGTTACAGAATTCGTAGAAGATGTATTCATTGGCGCTCATTTGCAGGTGCGTGCTAAAAGACTATATTGCCTATATTAAACTTCATTTCACTCATTTATTTGGGAAATATTTAGTGGGGCGGGGGGCGGAGGGGGAGTCGCCACTTTACGAAAAGCCCCACCCCCTCCTTGGGGACCTCCCACAGACCCCTAGGGAACCGTTTGAAAATGGGGTAAAAACGGCATTTTCCGAGGCAAACTGAGCAGTTTGAAGTGGAATATAACCCAACCAACAGAATCTGTGGGGTTCCCAAATAAAAGAAGTTATCCCAAGGTGGTTATCAGGCGAAAAAAGGAGGGCTAAACACCTTTCGCAGAGAACACCTTTGTGCGTAGGCGGCCTTCGGCCGCACTTAGGGATTATAACCCTCAGGCAGTAGAATTCCCCTTTCTGTTTTGCGAATAAAAGGAGCTGAATACCTTTTACAGAGAACACCTTTATATATTTTTAATGCTTACAGGGTTATATCCTATTTTCTTTTGTCTCTCATTTTTTGCATATTTTGGAGTTTGACAGCTGAACTACGCTATTTAATTTGCATATGCAACAAAAGTCAGACGCATGATTTAGAAGGTGCTTTTATTTAATAAATTGTGATTAATTGGTTAATATTAAAGTTATAAAGAAAGTTATAGCTCATCGAGTAAAGTGTAAAGTGAAGGAGAACATAAAAATATATTGCTGATGTAGCTGCTTTAAGGAGAATAGGAGTGATAAATATACGCTAATTTCCGAATTTTACAAAAAAGGGCATATTTCAAACCCAATTTGTAAATAAATTAGTGACCCAAAATTACAAGAGTGGATGTTAAAATAATGGGTAGACCCTTGGCTACAAGTGTGTGCACTTTTTTTGGATCGGGTCACCCCTTTGGACGCAATACCCCGAAATAGGTGGGCCACTTACTAAACAGTACCCATTTATTTTACTGATGCTATGATTGAGTTTTAGCGGACATTGTTTACTATGAGTTACATAAACTTCTAGTGGTTGGTACATATCTGTATATTTAAGCAATTGTGATTTTAATGCATTTGAAGAACGTTGTGATGTTAGTTGTTGACTTGATTTTTAGATTTTAATGTAAAAGATATGATACAATTTTATTTATTTTCATGTAAAAGCCTGTATTAATTAAATGCATTGTTAATTGGGTTTTTATGCCATAACAGTCGCACCTAAAAACTAGAAAAAATGCTACAATTTATACTCGAATTTGCTTTAGTTTTTGTTGCTGTAGCACTTTTGCACATACTTGAGCATTTTGCAAATCAAACTCACATATATATTTTTGGAATACTTAAAAAATTATTTTTATTATAATCTATACCTATTAAATTTAATGGATAAATATTTAGGAAGCAAAAAATTTACATTAATTTAGCTGCAGCAGCTGCTATTCATGAATGTTGCAATATACATATATATGTATGCACAGAGGTATGTATATGCAACAGTATTTGAAATGAATGCCCTTGTAAACATGGCTCTAAAGTAAGGTCAATAAGAGTCGAAGAATAAGGCCAATAAGACTCACAGAACAGCATAAAATAAGACTCCGAAAGTAGGCATTTAGGAGGCCAATAAGAGTCATGTAAGAGCCTCAAAAAAGTCCAAAATGAGCCGTATATGAGGCCGATAAGAGTCCAATATGACTCATATTGAGGCTCATTTGATGTATGAATTTAAGCTCATATAAGTCGACCTTCGCAGGAAGGGAAACAACCTCATTTCGGACTCTTAAATGAGCATTATGAGCGTAAAGGCTCCGAAATGGGGCTCCTTCAAGACTCATTTATGACTCCAAACGTTTGCTGGGATGCCACTGAATACACATATCTTAAAAGATATGCCTATGTATGTATAGATATTTTTTTTTTTTTTTTTCGGAACTATAGTCTTTGCTGGTAGGTTTTGACAATTGAGGCGAACTCATTTTGTCTAATGGGTTGACTGACGATTTTTCGAAACCTGTCAAGTAAAATGGATTCGCTTCCAATCAGACCTAGTTGCGTTGAAAAATGAGCAAGCATAATGAACAATTGTAACGACTTTCAACTTATTTCGCTTATTATTATATTTTTTGGAGGATTTTAATTGATAATTCGCACCTCGTTACCAATTTCGTATTTCTGAAACAATTGTTCATCAAGCTTGGTCTGTCTTATTTTTACCCGATTCATCACGCTGGGTCTGTCTTATTTTTACCCGATTCTATGCTTACAAGATCTAACGATGGTCGGTTCTTTATACCCAGATCTACCCGGAGAGGCCGGGCTAAGAACCATCACCAAAAATCTAACTAAAAACACGACTACCTTTAATATTGCTCTGGGTTAAACTTGATTATAGGCGTTGAATCCTTCCGAATGCATAGAAGTGGAATTTTTGTGCGATGAGGAAGTGGAATTCACGCGGGATTGGGGATCAACGGAGAGGGTTTATTTACGAAGTGCTTGCTGGCTCCTCGGTTTCTTGATTTTGGGATGGAAGTAGGACCAGTTTGGCCAGCGGTCTCGTAATCTGCCCTTTTTCCGTGATGATGTCAACTACGCGTACTCGATCGTCGGGACCAGGATGTAGGCTGATAATTCGACCTAATCTCCACTCATTTGACGGGAGGTTGTCTTCCTTGATGACAACGAGATCTCCTAATTTTATATTTTGCTGTGGATATTTCCACTAAATCCGCTTTTGCAGTTCGGATAAATATTCGGTTTTCCATCGTTTACAAAAAGTTTGGTGAAGGGCCTTTAGCTTCTGCCACCGATTTACTATCGAGGCAGGATTCTCGTGAACGTCGATTTCAGGTGGGGCTAGCAGGTGTCCACCAGTAAGAAAGTGACCTGGAGTGAGAGGCTCCAGGTCGGTAGGTTCATTCGAAGCGGGGCTCAATGGTCGTGAGTTGAGGCACGCCTCAATCCGACATAAAAGAGTACTGAACTCTTCGAACGTATACTTATGAACGGATGCAATCTTTTTAAAGTGGCTTTTAAAGCTTTTTACCCCCGCCTCCCATAAGCCGCCCATATGAGGAGCAGCGGCGGGTATGAAATGCCATGTGAGCATTTGATAATTGTATTTCGAAACTGCTTTTTCACGCGAATCTGCTAAAAATGCCTTAAATTCAGATCGTAAAGATCGTGAAGCTCCGACGAAGTTTGTACCATTGTCGGAATATATGTTCTTCGGGCATCCTCTTCTGGCTACAAACCTGGCGAATGCAGCTAAAAATGATGGAGTGCTGAGGTCACTAGTTGCTTCCAAATGGATCGCTTTTGTCGTAAAACAGACAAAAAGGCAAACGTATCCTTTGGACATTCGACAACCTCGGCCGCTATAACTTTTGATGTCAAAGGGTCCTGAAAAATCTACACCTGTATTCGTAAACGCGCGCGAAAATGTGGTTCTCTCCTGAGGGAGAATTCCCATAAGCTGGGTTTGCGTACGTTTTTTTGTATATCGTACAGACTTTGCAGTTATGGATTGTGGATTTGATCAGATTTTTAACTCTGGGGATCCAATACTGAGTTCGGATAAGGCGAAGCATGAGTTGATTTTCCCCATGCAAAGAGACTTGGTGAATAAAGGACACTATTAGACGGGACAACCTGCAGTTATAAGGAATAATTATTGGATGCCGCTCGTTATACGCTAAGTCTTGAGACGCTCCAAGACGCCCACCAGCCCTAATAATGCCATCTTTATCTATGAACGGATTAAGCGGTAGGAGTTCACTCTTGGAGTCGATGGAGTTTCCTGCTTTAAGTTTCCTGTATTCTTCACTGTAATAGTTCTGTTGATATATTTTTATCAAGCGTTGTGTCGTTGCTTTAATTTCATGGGATGAAATTAAGCGTGACTTTTCTTGAAATGAAGCTTTCGTATTTCGATGCGTTCTTTGAGAGAATCTCATAACATATGATAATACTCTCAAAGCTCTCGGAAAATCTGAAAAACGGTCAAGAATATCGGTATAATTTACTTTGGTTGTATAAACGTGCGTTCTTTTTTCCTCAACTACTGTGCTGTAGTCTGTTTCCTGGGTGGGCCATTTTGGGTTATCTTCTTGTAACCAAGAAGGTCCCTGCCACCACAACGAATTGTTGACCAATTCATATGCTGGAAGTCCTCTGCTCGCTAAGTCTGCTGGATTTGATGCCGAATCCACATGCAGCCAATTCTTGTTTCCGACTTTCTCTACAATTTTTGTGATTCTATGGGCAACGAAAGTTGACCATGAACACGGAGGCTTACGAATCCAAGCGAGAACAATTGTGGAATCGGTCCACAGATGTATGTTGATATGCCCTAAGTTGAGATTGTTGATTATTGAATCAACTATTTCCGCCAATAGTACCGCTCCGCAAAGTTCCAGTCGGGGTAGCGATATGGTTTTAACAGGAGCAACTCTGGTTTTTGCCAAAAGCAGGTTAATAAAAACTTTGCTATCTCTTTTGACACGCATATACACAGAGGCGGCATATGCTTTCTCCGACGCGTCACAGAATCCGTGTATTTGTATTTCATCCGTTGGAGAAAAGTATACCCATCGCGGTATACGAACCTTGTCAATTTCGTTATAATGTTGGGTAAAATTCTGCCATCGGTCTAGAGTGGTCGAAGACACAGTCTCATCCCAATCTGTGCCTTCCAGCCAAATATTTTGCATAAGGATTTTGGCTACGATTATGATAGGCGCAAGCCACCCCAGCGGATCGAAGAGTTTAGCAATGGCAGATAGTATCGCTCTTTTCGTAACAGCATCGCTTTTCTCCAATGGCCTTGCTATAAAATAGAAAAGATCCGTATGGGCATTCCATCTTATTCCAAGAGCCTTGACTGCGCTGGTATCTTCAAATGCCAAAAAATCTTCGCTAAGTAGATCAGTTTTTGGTATGCCATTAAGTATTTGCTCGCTATTGGCTGTCCACTTTCGAAGTGGAAAACCGGCTGATTGCAACACTTCCGATATCTCATCTCTGGCTTTTATTGCTAAATCGATAGTGTGTCCACCAGACAATACATCGTCGACATACATGCATTTTCGTAGTATGTTAGATGCTATTGGATGGGAGCTTTGCACATCGTCAGCTAATTGTAAAAGTGTCCTTATAGCCAGATAAGGAGCACAATTGATGCCGAACGTGACAGTCTTTAATTCGTACAGACTGATCGGGTCATTCGGGTTAGTGCGAAAAATAATCCTCTGATACTTAGTATGGTTGTTATGTACCAGAATTTGCCTATACATCTTCTCGATGTCACTGTTGAACACATATTTGTATAGTCTCCAACGGAGTATTAGTATCGGAAGATCTGCCTGAAGTACTGGTCCTGGGAAAAGTACGTCATTTAGGCTGTTGCCATTCGCCGTTGGGCTTGAGGCATTGAACACCACGCGTACTTTCGTTGAAGTACTTTCTGCCTTTATAACAGCGTGGTGCGGCAGAAAATAATTATCAGACGAGTCTGCGGGTATGGGATTTGTTATTTTCGACATATGCCCAAGCGTTTCATATTCCGCTAGAACCCTATTGTATTCCTTTTGCAGGACGGGATCCTTGGCCAGCCGTGTCTCATTCCGGTAAAATTGAGAACATGCTCTTTTAAGGGATGGGCCTAGGGAAATATTTCCTGGAAAATCTTTCC